TAATACCCACATGTATAGATTTGAACAAAATCACTGGATCCCATAGGCTTTATAAAAAGCCATGTTTTAATCTGGCTCTGGAATGAAGTCAGTGTTGATCCCAAACAATCTTCCCGTCACAAGGACACCACAGGAGAAAAACTACTGCTGTTTTTCCTCATGTAGTGTATTGTCCCTATTAATGGCCCTCAGAATAGGACTCCTGCCCTTGAGCAGGTACATTGAGAAGGACACATTCTTTAAAACCAGTATTAAATGTGTTCTGTACAGTGCGCTGAAGAACAGTCCAGCTGCTGAATGTTATAGTAGTATTTGCAGCTTACAAATCATCTTCAGGGGCAGCTCTACATAGAGTACACTGTAGTAGTCTAGACAAGAAATTACCCAAGTGACTAGTATGGCTGTGTTATTGCTTAGCTTCCCTATAAATGTAACAAATGCAAACAAATTAATACATTCAATAATTACATTCAGGTTTCTTCTTTTTAATAGAATTAATGACCAAGATTTTTTCATAAATGCTGCAGTCATGTTATGAACCCGAATCAAACTGCTCTTGATACTTAGCATTTTTGGCCAAACAGGTTTGTTCACAGTGTCAGTTTTTCTTGCATCACTTCATGCAGACTGACAGACAATACTGTTCAGAATCACACAAAAAAACCAACAAAAAAGGCACCAGAATTTACTTTGTGATCTTCCGTATCATCTTTCACACACAAGAAGACTGCCATTTTGGTATGTTTTCTATTAGTAAATTAATGTTCCTCAAGCAGCAACCATAATTACCATCTGCAATCTATCAACTTTTTATGGATTCTCTTGCAATCACATTTCCATAATTATGTTTTAAAACCAGATAGTGAAGCAGCAAGGAAATGACAGCTGACACAAGACTTCATGTCCCATGGTTCATATATGATTAAGAACGGAATGCCTCAGAATGTGCCTTTCTTCTTCTCTGGGGTTCATATGTCAGTGCCAACTATTCAGTTTGTATTGCACTGTCACATTGCTATTTAAGGATATTTTCACACATGAGAGTTAAACTGACTTCTGCTGCAGCTGATCTGTAATGCAAATGTGGAGCTGGCATTGACCAGAGTGCACATGTGGGTTCAAGGCTGCAAACCCGAAACTGACTATTTAAGCCCCACTGAACTCAATGGGGTTCATTTTTGAGTGCATTGCCAAAAAGGCTATAATCTACTTGGGTTGTTGTAGGTTTTTTTCGGGCTTTATGGCCATGGTCTAGAGGCATTCTCTCCTCTACTTTTTTCTCATATTGACAATATTCGCAAATGTGAAGATGGCTTATTAATTACTTAATTATTTTGTAGCTCACTTTTGCCCTGTTGTGGGACCCAAGGCTACCCCAATAGATTAAAGCAAAAAGAATAGTCTTCTATGCTCTTTCCAACACAAGCAAATATTTGTATTGCACGCTTTTGAGTAAGAGGAGTTACAGTAGTGTCAGAATCTAAAAGAAATTCACCAGAGCACTTTCTAGGAGAAGAATTAGACTTGTAGTGTAACTGTGTTCATGTGAAAGCTCTATATAGTGAAGAACCCAATCTAATATGAATTTCTGGCTACATAGTCTTCTGTAACTTTTTTTTCATGTCAAGAGCGACTTGAGAAACTGCAAGTCGCTTCTGGCGTGAGAGAATTGGCCGTCTGCAAGGACGTTGCCCGGGGGATGCCCAGATGTTTTACTATCCTGTGGGAGGATTCTCTCATGACACCACATGAGAAGCTAGAGCTGACAGATGGGAACTCACCCCGCTCCCCAGATCCAAACTGCCGACATTTCAGGCAGCAGACCTGCCAGCACAAGGGTTTGACCCATTGCACCACCGGGGGCTCCATTTCTGCAACTGCATTCATGCAAATACAGTTACAGTTCAGATCTTTGCACAAAACACAGAAAGCCTGAAACTGGAGAAAGTGGGACCATAAGATATGTCCCAGTTCCCCTCCATGACTACAATGCTCAAAATGGTAGAATAGGGGTATGTTTCCCATCCCAGCAATGGGATACTTGCTGTGGGGAGGGACGTGATGGTATTTTTTATAAAAAAATTAATTATTTTAATGTAATTTCATTTTTAATTATTCAGAAACTAGTCCTAAACTGTTTTATACAGTATGTCCCCTGTACCCACAGGATTGGTACCTACAATTTCACCTACTCACATCCAACAAAATATGTACTCCCTGGGAGTTTTCTAGATCCTCCATACTATTCTATGGTGTATTTCCACTGGAAGTTTCCATAGAGTCTCGTTAGAAAAAAAATAGCAAATTCCTGGAGAGAATACCTCTCTTAGAATTCATTTCAATAGGGTTTGCTTTTATCCATGATTTCCTGTTTCTATGTTAAATTAAGGAATGTACCTTAATGTACCTTAAAGGAGCATAATGTCTGTTTTGAAAACTATAAACCACTTATATTCTATACTGAGCAATTTACAAGCACTATAAATAACGGAATAAATAGCAAATTTAGCATTCATGAGGTGAAATCCAATTTTTAGACACTAATCCTTTAGTGTCTAAAAATAGAAAGAATTTTTTTCGTGTCAGGAGTGACTTGAGAAACTGCAAGTCACTTCTGGGGTGAGAGAACTGGCTGTCTACAAGGACGTTGCCCAGGGGATGCCCAGATCTTTTGATGTTTTTACCATCCTTTGGGAGGCTTTTCTCATATCCCTGCATGAGAAGCTAGAGCTGAGAGGGGAGATCATCCTGCTCTCTGGATTCAAAGTCGCCAACCTATCGGTCAGCAATCCTGCCAGCACAAGGTTTTAACCTATTGTGCCACTGGGAGCTCCAGAAAGAACACATAAACCAAATATTTGATATATGTGAGCAATCTGCAAAGTGTAATTTCAATGAAGTTATTTGAATCTTTCCATTCAAATATAAGCATAACTCATATCTTGAGTCCACGTGCGCATTTCTGCATTTGTTGATTGGATTCACCCTCCTTGATTTCCTCGTTCTCCAAATTTAAACCTTGCAACATGAAAACCCTGGGACTGAATCTAAGGGGGAATAACTAATGGCTTGATAGCTTCTTGCAAAGTTTTGAAAGTGCTGCGCAGCTGCTGGTAGATGTTTGTACTGGCATTGCAGAGTGGAGCCCTGGGAATAAGGAATCTGACTTCAGAGAAACAAGAGCTAGCTTCAAAGACAAGAACAACTCTCCCCAGCTGATAGAACTTTTACTGAAAGAAAAACAACAATGAAGTAAGAAACACACCAATAATATCTCCTGTTACTCCCCTCCAAAACCCTTTCAAAACTTTCTTTTCGTTTATCTGATTACACACTTCCGTCTCCACAACCTCCATCGTGATGGCCCTACCTTTTCTGTTGGTTTAGGTGTTTGACGATAGATTACAGTGTGGGGCCACATTACTTCAAAGCACGTTATATTAGTTATTAAAGCCACAGAAAAATTACTCCTGTAATTGTGATGTACCCTTTGAGATTTCCACAGGTTTGGAAACCCTGAGACTAAGGAAACAATTTGAGGTATTATTAGTTGTATGTTTTCATACAGATTAAGAAGGTATTGTATTCTAATAAATAGCTCGTCTAGATCTTTCGCTTCTTTGCTAACACATTTTATCACAGCTAATCTAATTTAGATAATATTGTTTCAGTTGTCGTGCCACCAGTTGCTTTCATTTTACTTCTTATAAAAAGATTGGTATACAAAGTATATGGGGGGGAAACCCGAGTTCATTTTGCATTTTTCCAAAATGGGACTTGAGGGAAATAAAGAAGATAAAATGTTATTGTAAGGTTGCAGTATTACCCTCTTTGAGGCAAATAGGGAATTTTGCCACTGTAATTAAAGACAGAAGGGGCATACTTGTGCTTTGCAATCATGAAAATAAATTAACCACTTCTGTCATACCATTTTACACCTACTAAGGATGCATCTAAGCTTGGTTTTTTTTTTACAGTAGAGTCTTGCTTATCTAACACAAATGGGCCAACAGAACATTGGATAAGCAAAAATGTTGGATAATAAGGAGAGATTAAGGAACAGCCTATTAAATTTTAAATTATGTTATAATTTTACAAATTAAGCATGAAAACATCATGTTTTACAATACATCGACAGAAAAAAGCAGTTCAAATCATAGTAACATTATGTACGGAATTAAAATTACTGTATTTATGAAGTTAGCACCAAAACATCGCATTGTATTGAAACAGCTGTGGATCCGGGCAGGAGGCAGACTGTGTTGGATAATACAGAACGTTGAATAAGTGAGACTCTAACGTAGTTCCAAGAAACATTTTATAAACAACATTTCCCCTTTGTTTTCTATTTTTTTACTTTTCAGATATTTCACACAGAGAGAGACAAAAACATTAAGCTCACAGAGCAGAAAAGCTCATTGAACTGAATTGAATTACATAACTACGTCAAGAAGACTTGCAGCAAAACTGAATTTGGCAAAATAAATCTTTCTTCTGCCAATAAAGCAAGTTTGCAATCCTATGTGAATTTACCTGGGATTAAGCATCATTGAGCACAGTGGTACTTACTTCCAAACAAATATGGTTTGTGTATCAACTGTGTTTTTTTTTAAAGTAAAGTACCATTTACATAGAAGATGCCAAAGGCAAGGAAAAACATTCCTAGTTGTACATAGGCTTTCTTGATGTGCATTCCTATGAGGAAAACAAATGTGGTTATGGATATAATGTTTATCTATACAGCAGACGCAAGGAAAGGAGTGCTGGTTTTTGCTTGACAAAAGCAAGCAATTATTTAGACTGTTCTGTTTATTTCATTTGTAGGTTCTTGGTGTGGAGAATATAGTAGAAAGACAGTTTTTAAAACACCATACAAAGAAAGTGATTTTTCTCTCTCTCGGTTATAAAAAAAAGTGTGAATTACACAAAATTAACTGCATCAAAAAAACCTTGTCCTTTATTCAATGAATGACAGTCAGATAACAAATGACTACTTTTACCTGTGTTAATATTGTGCTTTGGTTCCAAGGAAACAAAGGAGAGGATGCTGGTGACTTCCTGTAAGCCATTTTCTTAGGATCCCTGTAGATAGTCAATGTGAACAGGAAATTGGCAAAGCACATTCTGAAAATCAAAATGAAGGTCCATTGTTCAGTAAAGAAAATAAAAGGGCTTTTAAATTTTATAGTTTACATAACTGAGCCAAACTTCTTAGCTTTCAAACAATCTGCTGCTGCCTCACAATGGAACATTATTAGGTACCATTTATTTTTCAGAATATTTCAACTTGCAGCCTTATGGCTACGATGTACATAAAAACATTTGTCTATCCCAATAACTACCTTGAAAGGCCAAGGCAGGGTGGAATGAGAGAGAGCGCTTGCCTGAGGCCACCCAATAAGCTTCGTAGTTGATGGAAAATATCAACCACCCATGTCCAAACTCTTATTTTTTTGTGCACGTAAGCGCAAAAATATGGGATGTGAATACTTAATATAGGGCATATGATACATGCAAACCTACAGTAGAAGAACTTCTGCTTTCTAAGGGAACAAGAGCTGAAAAAGATGAGAAGGAACAGAGGCGTCTGATAACGATGGCCTCGGCCTCAGGGAACGGAGCAGATAGACAGATCATCAGAAGAAGACAGGAACCAATGAAAGACTTTGGGAAGAAGAATTTAGGGATCAACCCAGTGCAGAGGGGGAAAGGGAGAATGAGGCCACACGAATGAGAGCTGAAAGGGTTCACAGGATATGGCCGAGGGAGAGGCACGGATATTCATAACATTGATCCACTGAAGCTATACCAAGCTGGGATCATAGATAGGTTGAAGGGTAGTAGAAAGACAATGTCATTATGATGGCAATAGCAAAACATTAACAAATACAATACTCCAGTTCTGCAGTCTGTTGTATTCACTACCGTCAGCTATACACATTTACAGGTTTAATTTAAGTGGATTTTATTAATTGTGGTTTTGATTAATATGTTAACAGTGAAAGTTGGCCCTATAGTCAGGCAGCGGGACCTACAGATTCCTATGGAGATATTCATTCAGAAAAAAAATAATGATGTTTTGTTTACATTTTTTCCACTTTCATGGATGTTGTGTGCCCCTAAGCCCAGCGAAGGTGTAAGGCCCACTGTACTTACACAAAACAGGTGATAAACAAAAAACAGCCAGTGGCTTTTAAAAGTCTGTCACCATTCCTTAATAATTTTGCTCTTACAGTGTGTGTCTAGCTCAAGGAATTATATTATTCTTCAGGTAGTCACCAGTGTTTTAAAATCATTATCTAAATGTCTGTTTTTCCTAGCTGTCTCTTTGCTAGAGCAGTTTGGAATAAATGCTTGGCTTAATGAATTCTTAAGTTTAGCTTCTGTCTCCTGACAATCAAAATGGATTCTATTGACTTAGTGTGATTTCAACATTTTACCAGGAGATTTTTTAATATATGTGTGTGTGTTAAAAATGGGAGATTCTGCAAGTCAGCAAAAGAAATAAGTCAGGTTTTTTTTGTTTTAAAAAAACTTTCTTAGACAAGTTCTCATACTAACAATTCCCTGACAGGAAACCTGTCAATGGACTGTTTCGAAGAGCTTGGTCTAAACAGCAGTCAGAAGCTTTTCAGAAGAACAAGCCCAAGATGGTTTCTCACCTTTGACTTCTGACAGTTCATGCTTCTTATGCTCAGCGAATCTCTGAGAGAATGCTTGCCTGTCCTGTTTATAGGAAACCTATTTATTCTTCTGAAAGACCATATCCAGGTCACAAATTCTGAAATAGTCCCATAACTGAACCAAGTGGTTGCATTTAAGTAATTGAGCCAGTTGCCACATTGCAAAGAAATGTCCTACACATCATTAATTTTACTCTGTTAGGGAGAAATGGAAGAAGGAAGAAAAATTGGGTTTTGTATTTACTTGGTTTTTTACTATTTAAAATCAAGAGTTCCATAGTGAAGGGGGGAAGGGAAACCAATTTCCCTCTTCTGGTAAATCTGCTGTCTGTGAGCTCCGAGTCCTCATCTAATGAAGACTCCCCTAGTGAGAACATGACATTTCCTTGTTATCATATTTTGACTAATTTGTTTGTTAAAATGCCTGTAGCAAATTTCTTTCAGAGACAATGAAGTCAACTTTGTACACATACAAAAATGGAACAACGTTTGATGTTTTGTGCCAATGAATATCACTTATACATATTACTCAGTGAAGATTGGGCTAGAGCAATGGTTCTCAACCTACGTGTTTTGGCCTTCAACTACCAGAAATCCTAACAGCCGGTAAACTGCCTGGGATTTCTGGGAGTTGTAGGCGAAAACGCCTAGGGACCCACAGGTTGAAAACCACAGGGCTAGAGCAAGTGTCACCTCTCATATTATATACGAGGTATATTTTTAAATAAGCCCCTTTTGTCACAAAACAGTGCCATGAGCTATGTACCCAAGAAGGTAATGAATCTTAGGTCCCCTTGTTGCTAATCTAGCACTTTAAAATGTTGAAAAAAAGAAAGGAACACACCAATAACCAATACCAGATGTAGTTATGATTGCCTCCATCTCACTTCCCAGTTGATTCTATATAATTTTTCTGTGTCAGGAGCGACTTGAGAAACTGCAAGTCGTTTCTGGTGTGAGAGAATTGACCATCTGCAAGGATGTTGCCCAGGGGATGCCAGGATGTTTTGATGTTTTACCATCCTTATGGGAGGCCTCTCTCATGTCTCCACATGAGGAGCTGGAGCTGACAGAGGGAGCTCATCCACACACTCTCTGGATTCGATTCTCCGACCTGCCAGTCTTCAGTCCTGCCGGCACAAGGGTTTAACCCATTGCACCACCGGGGGCTCCTAGTTCTATTGCCAACCTGTTTATTGACTTCCAATAGGCCTCTAGTGTGCTACCTTGGTAAACAACATGCTGGTCCAGATATATCTTTGGTCTCTTCTAGCATGGGTTTTTTTTTTTCTATATTGGGCCTTAAATATCAGAAGACTTGTATCCATACACATTATATGAAGGAAAGTGGGTTCCCATTTATCCCAGCACCACCATGTAAGACTTTCCACTTTCCACTTTCCAGCTTTTCCAAGAGGAACCATTTTACCAACCATTTCATAATTTTTAATCTCTTATGAATTCTACACCAAGGCTCACAATTTTGTCATTTTTAATTTAAACCGACGTCTTATATTACTCTTTTTAGTCAGTCAAAAGGCTCAGCTGTCAAGGGAGAGTTTTATCATATTTCTGTCATGTTGGTTACAGTTAGAGGGCAGGAAACAGAAATAATTTCCTAATTTAGAACAATAAGTTGGTGCAGGTGGTAGCTTGATCAGATTGGATGCTTCAGTTCAGTTTCAGGTCAACAGTGAACTCCAACAATTCCTTTTAAAATTCATTGATATATTCTAGTGAGCTATTTTCAGTGCTGACCTACATTCTTGACACATCACTGACTTCAGTGGGGTTGCATGAGGTGAACATCAATGAATAACTTGAATGCAGAATTTCATGCCCTCAAATTGTGCCTATTTAATAGCTGTTCCATTGGCACAGTATCAGTTTTCTCACTCTGCCCCCAATTCAGAGATGTATGTGCACAGTGATAGACAGCATGAGTGTATCTGCCTCTATGCCAGCTGATTAGTACTATCAGCTTTGACAGTGCCATTTGTCTCCTAGGGGAAAAGAAAAACCAAAGCTGAATCCAGCTGCCCCAGCTCAAATTGTCCCATCCAAGCTCTTACCCCAAACTTACTGGTTCAGGCAGAAGAAATGTCATTGGTGTTCATATTCTTTCACATAAAGTTCCGTGTACCTATTTATTCATATGCATATTCAATTTAAACCTGTTTTCAAACTGAACCCATCTCACTTCATCAATGCCTTAGAATGGACTATCCCCAACAAAGTTTTATTTGAAGTGAAGAGGGAGGGAAGGATAATGGAAGTGAGATTCAACACAGCTCTGCAGTGGCCCTTTCATTCGGTAGATTGAGACTGACACTTTAGACTGAGGTACATGCTAAGGGGGCAAAGAATTACACAATTATTTGTTGGAAGATACAAACTATCTGAATTTTGCAACCTGTTTTGCACTTCCAAATCCAGAGTGAGTTCTTTTCAGGGGTTGGGGAGCCACATTGGCCCTCCACAGAATCTTGGAGAGCTAGACTCACCATTGTCACTCCCAAACCACACATATGATGCCAATTTTTTGAGCAGCATTATTTGCTATTTAACAATTGAAATGGTATTTTGTTTATTGATTTGATTTGTATCCTGTCTTTTACCCAATATTTTCAGCTCCTTTTCACTTTTTAAAGACTTCCTCTTCCTTTAAAAAAAGAAGTTACCAGGTTTCTCTTCTGAAAAGAAGGCTAATTGATAACTAAAAGGGAAAGGAGCTCCAGAAGTGCCATTATCAGCCATTGGGCCAAACAACTTTTTGGCACTGCTGGGAAGGGACAAGCTTAGGGACTCTAGGTCTCTGGGAGCACAAAACAACTTCTCTACCCATCCCTGGTGAAAACTAACCTGTTTTCAGATGTGGTGGTAGTACTGTCACATCTGCAGCTCTATCCACTTTTTGTACATTCTCTTTGCCCCACACAGTAAAATGTCTTGAGCCAATTCCGACTGTTCCAGCTTCTATAGAATTTAAATTAAATATTGTATTTTAGGATGTAGACATTGTTTTGAATTGTATAAAAAGTGTGGCAACAAAGAGTATCAACAAGTTCTATGATGCAAGATACACCCAGCTTTATGCACATTGACAGAGAGATAAGACCAAAACAATTGTACAAAAGTAAACACAAGTAAATATAGTTCACATGATGTACATTTATAAAAATTGTCTTTACCCACAGAGCAGTCAATTTTAAAGGTTTATCAGTTTCTCATCTTAGGTCAAGGGTAGGAACTGTGTTGCTTTCAAAAAGCTATTGATTTGCAAACTCACTCTCAGGGTTCTTCAGCCCTTGTTGGAGCTGCTGCAAGCTGTCATTCAACAACATCTGGTTCAGTGCCCACCACTTTTAGATCTTTGCTTCATTAGAATATGGCACTTTGTGCATAAAGGGATACTAAACTCTGTGAGAGACCTCTGACAGAACGTAATGTTTTTTAAAATAATAATAATAAATAAATAAAACCTGACACCAGGAGGAAAGGCAAGACTTTTAAAACCAACTGCTTACTGCAGGTGAGTTCAGGGAGCTCAAAGTAATGCAAGCGACACTTCAAAAGAACCAAGAAGCTGCCAGGCAGAAGGCATGAAATGATGAAAATGAATACAGATCATCTTGTATGTTAAACCATGATCAAACTTCCGTAAGCGACCCCTCATCTTTATTTAAAATATATATATGTTGAATAATAGAACACAAAGCTTCTCAAAGGCACATCTCTCTTGGGAGATTCAGGCCATGAGATTCTCCCTAAGCACCAATCAACCTTTTTACTCCTTTTGCTGGCCTGAGATGCACAGTTTCACAGTCATACTTCATATAAACATGAAGAGCAAAACGGAGGCCTTTATCCATCACAATTTTTCAACCTAGAACATTCTGCTTTGCTACAGAAGGCACTTATGAATAATACGTTCCTTTTTTGGGGCATCTGAACTACTTCACAATCTTTACCAAGAGTTCTGTAAACTATAGAGGGCTAGACACAGATAGAGTCCTCTTGTGCCAGATGAATTGGCTTGGTCTGTGTGTTCACACATTCAAATTGTCTACCTGACATATGACAACCCCATTAATTTCAAAGAGCTTTCCTAGGCAAGGAACATTCAACTGTAGATTGCCAATGTCTACCTCTGAAACATAGCCTACAGCACCTGGATTTTCTTAGTAATTCCCCTATGCAAGTATTAACCATACCTGATCCTTCTTAGCTTCCAAGATGGAATCTGATACCTCTATGACATTTAAAACAGTCTACATAACCTATGCCAGCTGATGTCAGAAAACAGCAAGAAGGGATCTGCCTACCTAGCTAATCTTCTTGAAAAAGAGTCAGAAAAGAGAAATCTAGACCTCCTGTAGACCAGGAACAGAGTGAATGTCAACACAAAGAAGTGGAGTATAATGATCTCATCACCTGGATGGTTTTCTCCATCTCTGCAGGCTGCTGGCACTCTGCTGGCATGGAGTCCACTGAAGCCATCAAATGATGCAGGGCTACTTCCAGCGGGGCTCCATTGGGCTCAATGCTAGCAATGTGCCAGCAGCACAGAGACACAGAAGCCCAAGGAGTCAAATGGCTACCTGAGTCCTCATAGAAGAAGCCAGGGACATCACAAAACATCATGGGATGGCAGCCCATGACCAACCACAAAAGGTGATGAAGCAGTATGCAGTCCCCCTTCTGGGCTGTCCCCTGGCTTCTTGATCCTCATGTGATATCCTATGGCTTGGAGTGGTTCAGATTTTTTACCTCCAGACAACCTATTGTCAGCTCATCTAGAACTAAGCCATCTTGAGAAATTAGAACTGCACTCATAGTAAAAATTTACCATGGTTCTCAAGAGGTTTTGAATTTTATCTTCCATCATTCCATTGTACAGTGGAGATGATAAGAAATGAACCCCAGACCATCTGGAGGACCATAGATTCTTTACTCCTGTTTTACAGCAATGTTATTTGCATGGTTATTTTTTTTTTTGCTGAATCCAGATTATCTATTATTTATAAAAAGATTTTATATGAATACAGCCTTACAACAAAAGTATACATTTTAAAAACCTGCAACATATAAACATTAAAATATACTTAAATATCATCATAATTAAAACACTTTAGTTAAAATCACATAAAATAAGTAAGTATAAAACTTTTAAAATAGTCCTTAAAATCCAAAGGAGCAAAATTAAAATATTCAATTATATATTAACAGTCAAGTAGAATAAGAATGTGTTGCCTGCCTGAGTCCATCGAAGATGGGTTAGTCTCATCTCCTTTGGGGGTAGATTCCATAACACATTTATGAATATTATTCTTCTCATTTTCAGGGGGTATTTATTGGCTAGTGGGACAAGATTTGAAGCAGAGGCTTGCATGCCTAGAAATGGGGTTTGAAAAGAAATATTCAGGGTCCAAAAGGAAATATTCATTTTGTACTTCCCAAGAGGGATCACAAAAATTATTGCATCTTGTCTCAGAAAACTGCACATTTTCTAGGCTTGCACATTTTCCAGACAAGTCTAATAGAACTAAAAGCATTGTTAAAATGCAATCTTATGCATAGCTACATAGAAATAATTCCCAAATGTAGTGGAGTTTACTTTTGGGCAAGTATAGGATCATAGTTTCATGGTACTCTACTACTGCAATACTAGACTTGATGTGATGCTGAATATTTTCAAGAGCAGTGGGAACTAGAGCTATATAAGTAAGTAAACTAATTCAGTGCTTTCTATCCTCACACCACATTACTTCCCCCTCCCCAATCTCAGGAAATAAAAGAACATCTGTGCATACATTTCACATTAGACCCAGGATTGTTCTTACAAAGATGCTCTCATGTTTGTTTGTTTCTGTTTTTTAATTAAGTGCTTGGGGGTATGATGATATCCAAGGCTTAGCAGTTTTCAGAGAGGCTGCTTTTTTCAGAAACTCAGATCAGAAGCTTTAATTGACATCCCTGAATCATATTCAGTGATTTGCCACATGTGGCAAAGTTTACATTTCTGATCAAATGATAGCTATAAAAGTCTGGGATTTGTCCTTTCATAGCATCATGTCTTGAAAAACCTCTCACTGGGAAAATCTAATAGAACTAAAAATAAGACTTTGTCCATTCTTTCTGTGAATTCTATCTGATTTATATATCTATGTTTTTGTTTCATTCATAGTTCATATTATAATACACTATTTTTTACCGATGCTATCTAAATTGGTTTTACAACTGGGGGGAAATAGAATCTGTGCCACACTGAACATACTGTTTATTAATGCTGCTAACTATTCTCTTCTATATTGTTCTAGTGCGTGCAAGAATTTTAGGATCCCTGGGAGACTGTGGAGAATATGTTGGATGTTTCTTGGGTTCAGGCCATGGTCCAGCATAAGCATTTTTGATACTGAGTTGATATTAATATTCTTGGAAGTCTCAAGAATGAAACTTCTCACATTAACATCCACTGAGTTTCAGTGTTAGAACAATATCAGACCCATTTTTTTTGACAGCAAGTCTTATAGAGATGTGATCTTGTGAATGATTGAATATTAGGTTCAATTAATTTAAAAATCAAACAAATGTGTAAAAAATACAGAGATGTTGAGAGAATATTATATCTTGTGCAGTCTTTTACTCTGTGCTGTTATTTTCAAGACACACATCTGTCTGGGTTTAAAATATTAATGCCTAGTGGATGTACCTTTCCATTTACCTGTAGCCTATTCCCAAACTTAGCAACGTTCCTCCCAGGACTTAGGCATTCACTTCGGTTTCCTCTGTCCAATATCTAACCATCTTTGACTAGTATAATTATGATCTGCCTTCAGTATAAGGTGAGAGTAGTTCTAAAAAGAAGCCAGGATCACCAGACATTACTACAGTGTTTCAACGTGTTTGTACATCTCATATACTTGTGCATTCTGCAAGTTATTTGTCCATGCAACAGATATATTCAAAGTGAACCAGTAAATACATCTCATGTTTTCTCACATTCCATATAGTAAAGATATTGTATTAGAAGTCTGTAGACAGTGTTCTCCAGAAGCCAGCACGATGCATGGTTGGTGATTACAATGTGATGACAAAAGTTAGATGTGAAAGATAGGAAGCAGGACTATGCTAAGTTCAAAGAAGTTGTTTGAACAACTCTTCAGCAATTACCATATTTAGTATGAACCATCACATGAGCAATTGTGAAAATAAAAGGGGATTGAAGAAGAACTATATACGCCACTTGGACCTCCTTGAACTAAGAGTAGGATGAAAAGAAATTTGAGAAAGAAAGATATCCGTCTAGTATTGCTACTGCCAATGTGTTGTTATTGCCTAATGATCCGGTTTCGGTGCTCACTAATGTTCTACTTATTCCTTCTGGAAAGCCAAGTTGCTGCAGTGGCCAAGAGTGCTTGTTTGTGTTTATAGATTCTGTATTTAGTAATAGTTATAGTTATAACTATAGCTATAATAGTTAAAGTTATAACAATTATAAATTATTTATTTATGTATTTATTTATGATATTTCTAACCTGCCTTTCTCAAGCCCGAAGGCGACTCAAGGTGGCTTACAAATTGGCAGCAATTCGATACCATAAAAATCCAAAATATACAATTAAAACATTTAAAACTGCATTATACAACCTATATAAAATAAATGTGATTATTACAGATCACAGAAATCCATTGGGATGCGACACAAGCCTATGTATATCTGCTCAGAAGGGAACGGTCAACCTCAAAAATAAACTACTTAATTTAATTGTTTAATTGTTGTGGGGGAGAGGCAAATTGCCTGACTATTCAGTCAGACCATAAGCACAAACAGACATACATTTACGGCTGGATTTGCCATAAGACAAAGTCAGGTCCATCATCTCAGGATGCTGGTGTTGGTGCTGGTGTAGGAGGAGTTGGCACACCATCCCATTGTCCGATTGTCCTCAATCTCCCAGCCATCTCCTCTGATG